CAATTCATCGCCAACAACAACCAAACAGAATATGAGGCGCTCGTCGCTGATATGATCCTTGCCCTAGAAATAGGAGCTGCCAAATTAAAGGCCAAAAGTGACTCTCAACTAGTAGCCAACCAAGTCTCGGGACAATATCAGGCCAAGGAACCCTTGCTGATAAAATATCTATAGGAGGTACGAAATATGTCCTCACGTTTCCTTTATTTCAAAGTAGGGAACGTCCCCCATGAACATAACTTCAGAGCATATCTCTTGTCCAATCTAGCTACCTCAAAGGTCGCATGGTAAAATATGAAAATCATGTAGGAGACTCTCGTCTCCCATAACATTGAGGAAGATGAAGCATACTCAGTGGAACTCGTCCCTGAGTCCAGCCAGATATCGCCCATACTGCGCTACCTAGAGTCTGGCGAAATCTCATCGGACGAGGGAGAATCAAGGAATATAAGAAGAAAAGCTTTGAAGTACACCTTACTCTCAAGGAAGCTTTACAAACTAGGAGGTCTAGTCCTATGTTGATATTCCTGGATGAGAGGGAAATCTCCTTAGTGCTCATGGAAGTCCATAAGGGAGCCTATAACAGTCATATCGAAGGGAAAGCTCTCTCCCACAAGCTATTAAGAACAGAGTATTACTAGCTCAAACTAATGAAATATAACATCACCTTCTTCAAGAAGTATGATCAATTTCAAAGGCATGTTGACCTTCACCACGCCCCTGTAGAGTTTCTCCAATTGATGATCTCGCCCTGGCCATTCTACTAGTGGGGCATGGATATCATGGGCATGTTCCCTCAAGAACCAGGGTATCTAAAATTCTTGATAGTGGGAGTAGAATACTTCACCAAGTAGATAAAGGCGGAGACAGTGGCAAAAATCACAGTTGAAAGAGTCAAGTGCTTCTATTGGCATAGGATTATGTGTTAATACGGCCTCCCCGACGCCATTGTCTCGGATAATAGGACCTAATTTTCCAGCACCGTGGTCATTGACTTCTGTAAGGATTTGAGCGTGCAGATAAAGTTCGTTCTTGTTGTACACCCTCAAGCTTACGAACAAGTCGAATCAGTGAACAAAGTAATCCTCAAAGGACTCAAGAAGAAGTTGGATGAGGCCAAAGGTCACCAAGGAAACCCCATTTTCCATTGTGTATGGGGCATACACGATATTGTCCATAGAAATCGATACGTTGTCATGGTGATAAGCCTATTTCTAAGAAGAAGAAAACAAGATAGGATTGAAATACGTGTCAGGCCTGATCGAAGAGCTACGAGAAGTAGCCCATATTCGGGAGTTTGCTACCAAACATAGAGTCGTAAGGAGATACAACTCCAATGTAAAACTGACGAAGGTGTAGGAGGGAAACCTAGTACTAAAATAAGTATTCATACCTGCACAACATGAGAAGTTACAACCTAACTGGGAAATACCATACCGCGTATACAAAAAACTTCCTCACGAAGCTTACAAGTTGTAGGAGTTTGAAAGATCGCTTCTGCCCTGGATCTGGAATGAACTTTATCTCTGATATTATTATTGTTAAAATTATTTATAAACGTTATGCCTATGTAATTTTGAATGCTCATTTGAATCTCAAAAACTCACGCTTAAGGGGCGCGACCTATATCAAGCCCTGAAAACTTGGTGTCAAGTATTGCTAGAGGGCTCGATAGAAGTCCCTCCTGAATGACTGAACACCCCACCTGAGGGACTTATCATCTCTCTCAATCGGGATGGATTAGACAACATCTGAGGGACCTCAATTTCCTAGAGTTGACAACACTCTCGCCTGAGGGACTCAATATCTCCTCGGGCGAGATAGCTTCATAAAATCACACCTAAGTGGCGTCACCCATATCAAGTCCCAGAGACTTGGTGTCATGTCTTGCTATAGGGCTCGATAGAAGTACCTCTTGAAAGGTGTCAAATTTGTTGCCTCTTTGGGGCATGATCGACAAGCCCATAACACTTAATCTAATGTCTTGTGCCAATTTTTTGGTTTTTGCTAACATGTTTTTTAATCAAATTTATTACGACCTTGTTAGAGGCTTCAACTTGTCCATTGGATTGAGAGTAATAAGGAGTAGACATAAGTAATTTGAATCCCGCTTCTGATGCAAATGCCTGTACTTTTTGACCAGTGAAAAATAAACCTTGATCAGTTGTAATGGTTTCAGGAATTCCAAACCTATAAATGATGTGTTTTTGAATAAATTCAATTACTGTTTCTTGATCATCATTTACCAAAGTTATGGCCTCAATCCATTTTGTGAAATAATCTTTTGTTGCTTCGATGAAGTTGTTCGAATCTCTCCCATGATATCTAACGCCCATCCTCGAAAAGGCTAAGGTTTGATAATTGCATGTAATTCACTTGTTGGTACATGCTGAATGCCAACATGTTTATGAAAATCCTGACACCCTTTGGCAAAATCAATGCAATCTTTTAGAATGCTTAGCCAATATACGCATTATCGAAACAACAATCACTTTATTTTGTGTCCAGCTTGATGAGCACCATAAGTCCCACTATGAACTTTAGAACTATCAAGTATGCTTCAATTTCTCCCAGGAATTTGAGCAATACACCTTTAGGAGTCTTTTTGAACAACTCATTTCCCATACAAACATAGCTCAAAGGTTTGTATTTTATTTTTCTGTCGATATTTCTGTCGTAACCGACAAAAAGCAAGAGAGTCGCCACCACTACTTACTTGTCCTAAGGACATGAAAGGAACGGAAAAACCCTAATTGTTTATAGATTGATGGATTCGAGAGTTAATTAGATAAATGGAAGGTGTTATGCACCCTTATCTCTCTTGTACTCAAGGGGATCCTTTTTAGACCTAGGACTTATAGAAAATATTTTTTTATTTAATTATGATGTTATCATGTATAGGAAAAGAAACAGAGAAAAAAATGATTTTTAAGTTAGTAGACTCGTCTTGGTTTTTCAACCGTGTGACTACGTATCTCTCATTGGAGCATGAGAGAAATTAGAGTCCTACGTAGTTCGAAGTATGTTTGGTTGGTTGATAAAGAGTCAATCTTTATTAGAATTAAATCGCGCGGGGCGAAGAAAATGATTTGTTGATAAAGTGTTGATCTTTATTAGAATTAAATTGCGCGTGACGAAGAAATTGATTTGTTGTCGCATGGAGCGAAGGATGGTGTTTGATTATTGCGAGGAGCAAAAACCAAAGTTTGATGTGTTGATGAATTTTAATTGTTTTGATTTAAATAATTAATTGGTAAGGCGTTAAATTAACCACTTAATTACTCGAGAATGTAAATTCTATTATTTACAAAAATATTAGAATTTAATTTTAATTGCGAAAATAAGTTTAAAATTATATATAGAATTTTGAATTATGTACTTAATCGAAGAACCCGAAATATCTATTAATCACACCAATTTAAATAGAGTTAATATACAAAGGAAATGTTTTTTTAATATTATTTATATTTTTAATGTTTTTAATAATAAGATAAAATAAACAAATAAATAAATAAAACTAAATAAACAAAAGATATTGAATAAATAAAATAAAATAAATAAATCAAAAGGGAATAGATAGAAAATAAGAAATGTGTAGGAAGCTAAAACCCGAGCCCATAGCCCAAATTAGTTATAACCCTAATTCATAGAACAAAGAAAAGAAAAAAACAATCAAATGGAGAGAAACTATACAGGGAGTTGCCTCCCTTTCAATTATGTTAGGTAATTTATGATGTCGTATGAGTCCCGTCTAGATTTATATTATATATATCTATGACTAAATTGTTAAGTATGACATCGTATTTTCAGTTGGATAACATTAATATAGTTATAATTTATAATTATTTATTAAATTTTAATTCATGTGTTTAGAGTATACAAAATAATATGATTTCTTTTACAGTTCATAAATATTCACGCAGTTTTAATTATATACTAATAATATGTACCGACTTTTAAACATTAATTCGTATTTATAATAAATTGTATAACCATTTTTATAACTTCAATTATATAAAACAACAACAAAATAAATAGTTAAAAGTTATACATTAAAATGATCAGTCAAATGAGTTAACAAATCTCAGTTGAATTCAAATGAGTTAATTTTAAAAATTTATTAAACCTATTTTAGATATTAGTTCATTTTTTCAAACCTAAAATGTATGACAGCTCCCGTCAAATTTCAATTTTAAAACTTTCTTATTATATCATATTTACATTTTTTATAACCTATAATATATGACAGTTACTCGTTAAATTTCAATTTTAAAACCTTTTTAATAGATTATATTTACAAATTTTACAAATCTATTATAAACGTGAGAGCGGACCAAAACGTTTCAAATTTAGAATAGAGAGACTATTTTCGTGAATCAACTAAAATTAAAGATTAAAATTATAATATAGTTTTTCATATTCTAGAAAAAACTAGGTATTTTGACAACAAAAAATTATTAAACATATTTTAAATATATTTTAGTATAACTTTTTATCATATTTAATTATATTTAATTCTAAAAATTTGTTAAACCTATTTTAGATATTAGTCTATTTTTCTAAACCTAAAATATATTATAGCTCTCGTCAAATACTTAAATATTTCTATGTTTAATATATATTATTATAATAATTATAATTAATGTATAATTTTCAAAATATTGTCAATTCAACTAAAAATATTGTTAATTTATATAATTAAAATAATCAATACATATTTAACCGAATTGATCCGATCAACGTATAATTAACACTTTATATTGTTTAATTAATCTCAAAATTTTAACTGTCTTACATTAAAAATAAAAGTAAATAGATACGTTTAATAATAATTTAGTAATAATAGATCATTTTAATTGATTTAATATTTTATAGATTTAATGGCATCATTAGTTATAATGACCACATTTTTAATAAATTTTAAAAGTTAGCCAAATAATACGTTAACTTGGAATACGACATTCTAATATAATGTATCTTTACCCTTACTCTTACTGCCCTTATTCAATGCATGCGGTGGAGATGAAGCTGATGATGAATTTTTCACATCCACAATCAACCCAGTGACATCTTGCATTAGCTTTTCTTTCTTTTTCTGGAGCAGTTCCAGGAGCATTGGAGCAAGAGTAGTCCAACGTTACCTAGAAAGAATATCATTACAGCATCCAATAAAATATAATACTTTTTACAGCTATGAATAGAACTCATGATATCATTGCATTTACTGTTGTTAGTTGATTCCTTTAACATCTTACCACGAAGAATAAAAGTGATTTTCCATTAGCTTAGTTGTTATGTACTTTGCTAGGCTTATTAACTGAATCAAAGTTCTAACTTTTGTTTAGAAATAAAACAGATAATAGAATACAACACAATAAAGAATAAAATTATGGTTTTGGAAAACAGTTGTTTTGCATTGAAAAAAATATGGTTCTGTTTAAAGCCATTAGAAAACCTAATTTGAAAGTCATATAAAACAGAGTGAAGGTCCAAAATAATTGAAAAAGGTAAAAAAAAACATATTGAAGATACATTATACAACACACATAGAAGACAATACAAAATAGTATAACATGTAAAAGACACAGTCAGCAATCAGAAAAGTAAAGTATTATCACAATGAAACTTACACAATATTTAAAAGAGAAGTTTGAATATAGGTTGGTTGAAACATTTAAAAGCAGTTTAAAAGAGGAATAACATGTATCGAAAGAGGAAATAGAAAAGAATAAGAAACATAAGCTTTCGGTAGTTACAATTACGTATAAGGCCAATAAACCTTACATTAACAAAATCAAAATATAATAAATCAGGACTTACGATACCTTATTAATTTTTACTTTTTCAATGGTCTCTTCAAGTGTATCAACACTGTATCCTCGATAAGGAATAAAATTATCAACAAATTATACAATTATGGTTTGAAACCAAAACACAAAAACAGAAATCAAATCTGTAAATATGAGAATAGAAAAACTTTCATGATAGAATGAGGAGAATGAGAACGATAGTTTTATCTCTCACAGAACCCTAAACAACTCTAAGTCGATCCGAATCAGCTGAAATTCAATAGTGACCTGACTGAAATGTAGTAGAGATAAACATTAATATTTATACTTTTTATTGAATAACTGAGGTGCAAACTACTTGGACAAATCTTAGAGAAGTAAATTAAACATGATAACTCATAATCAATTGTGATAAGTCGATTTTACTCTTATAATTAATTCAATTAAATTTTTTAATAAAAAGATTATATTTAATATATCAATACTTTAAAATTTATATATTTGTATTAGAGTTGTTTTGATTTCTTCTTTATTCTAAAGATAATCACTCTTGAATGGACATGTGGCAAGTGTTAAATAAATAAAAATTAAAAGGAAAATAGGATTAACATCAAAGAGGGATACGTAGAAACAGAGCCATAGTCCTTTTCTATCTCTTCTTCGCTTTCGCTATGTTCTCTCTCGTTTCTCTTGGTTTGATACCACCACTTTCCAACTCTTTCAAACTCAAACATATACATCACAAAAGATCAACAACCTTAACCAAAATATAAAAAAACTGATAAAATAAACCTTGCAATTGTGTCGACGAGAAGGATGGTGGGAGCGAGCGGTGAGTTGCGGCATCACCGAGGAGTGCTCGCCGGAGGATGGTGGCGGATCTGGCTTCGGTTCCGACGACATAGAGAGGCGAGCACGGTTGGGTGGTTAACGGAGGCATCTGTTTTTCCGAGTGTGGAGGGCGATTTGTGCGATGGTGGAACGTTAGTGTGTGCGCGTCAGAGGCGTGGTGCTGCGGTGGTTCTCTGGATCAGAAACGAGTTACGCCATGGTTGCCGGATTTGTGGTGTCGAGCAGCGACTTCGAGTAATACAGAGGTTGTGGCGGCTCCGATGGAGTTGTTGTTGGATGGCGGAAGTGTACAGGACTATTTCATCCGTCAATTCGCGGTGCTAGTCGGAAGTGAACAAAAACAAATTTTAATAGAAGTTTGTCGTGGTTTAATTAGTTAGTAACGAATTTGTAGGTTGTAAGTTATTGATTTGTGGAGGATTGGCGGGATAGAAAAAAATGGTTAAAAAAGCTGCAGGTTTATGATATTGGCTATTGCATATGGGTATTTAGAAAAACGTGACAAGATCTGTAATATGTGAATGAATGGTGGTTATAAAAATTGAAAAAAAGTGTTTACACTGTATACGTGTGTGATTATTAGTCAAAAGTGGATGTTGTATGTTGAAAATTCTATGCAGAAAATTAGTTTTTCGTGTGTACGGTAAATGTGTGGGTTTGAATGTTGATATTTTTTATCTAATAATTTTAAAAAACAGCCATCAGAAATCGGTTTAATCAGGCGACCGATTAACATTAAAAGAATCGAAAATAAAAGAGAGGAATCTAATATGAAAATTATTGACCAAGTATTTTTGAAAAAGAAATTTTTGAAAAAAAACTGTAAAAGTAAGTTTGTCAATGAAGTGTGTACGTAAGAAATTATAAAATTATAGATATGAGATGATGTCCATGAAAAATTAGGATGAAAAGAAGATTTTGATTTATAATGTGAGAAATTAGGTTAAGATATAAAAAAAGAAAATAAATTGAATTAAATAATGTTCAATATTGAGGTCCAAATCAAATATCACTTGGTTTTATCTTAGTCAACAAGTTTAAGAATCTAGACCTAACCTATTTGTGACTCTGTGCAAGATACGATTTGAAAAAAATTTGATCTGAAAACAATTTTATTTATTTATAGGTTTTTTTTATACTATTTTTTGAATAAAATAATGATTTTAACAAAAAATAATATTTTAAAAATATAATAAATAAAGGAAAACAAAAATAGTAATTAAATAATAAAAAATATAATTTTTCTGATTTTTAGTAATAATGTAAAGATAAAAAATAAATAGAAAAAATGTCAAAAGATAAAGAATGTGAGATTCGAACTCCTAACTTTATACTTGCAAGTCTTACATCCTTATCAATTGTGTCAATTCATTTATTCGAAATAAACTGGCTTTAGAAAATATATGAAGGACGCACAAATATTTGTTATTTAAAAAATATGAATAATTTTAAAATAAACTATTATATATTTTTTTAACTAAGCAAAAATAAATCAATGTTGAAATGTTAGTATAAATAAACTAAAAAATTTATAAAACTCAAGTTTAAAATAATTTGACTGTTAGAAATAGGGCGGACAAATTTGGGGTATGACAATTTTCAAATGGATTTTCCAAATATTCCACAATTGACTTTCTCCAATATGCATCTAACAAATTGTCAATGGCAAAAATTTCAATAATTTCCCCTAGACTTTTTGCCCCCCCCCCCCCCCCCCCCAACTTTTAGGATTGACATATTTGCAGATGGTGTCGAGACGACTTTCTCCTTTACTTCGACAAATCGTCTGAGCTTTTTCGTCGACACTTTATCCAGATGCAATTTGTGCTAATTCATTTGCTTCTTGATTCTCTATTCTGGGTACATATGTAATGCTTGCATCCTCAAAGCCTTTCAACAATTGCGAAGTATATCAACAAATATTCTTTGATGCACTTATACTCGTGTGATTTGTTTAATCACCAACTCTGAGTTGCCTTTGATTTTAACTTTCTTTGCGCCCAAATTCCGCAAGATTTTGAGCTCAGTGATTAAGGCTTCGTACTCTGTTTCGTTATTGGAACATTTTCCTTCCACTCTGCATTTGAATTTCGTCGGTATTCCTTTTGGAGAAATTATCAAGACTCCGACAGGGATTCCATTCTTGTGGCTTGATCCGTTAAAATATAGTTTTCAAGCCTTTGTATCAACCACATTTACAGATGGCTCGACTATTGCATGATCGACAATAAAGTCTGCCACAATTTGGCGTTTCATGGCCCTTAAAGGTATATATGACAAAGAAAGCTCAGTTAATGCAAGTGTCCATTTGCCAATTCGACTATGTAATATGGGTTTAGACAACATATGTTTGATAACATCAAAATGAGACGACACATAAACATCAACTGGTTTAATAATTGCTTTAATTTCATACATGATAAGTACAAACATAGGCACAATTTTTCGATCTGACTATACCTAGTTTTTGCATCTATTAATACTCGACTAAGATAATAAATGGGTCTTTCGACACCACCGTCATCTTCTTGGGCTAACACGCTTCCCACTGTCAAGTCAGATGCAGTTATATACAATCTCATATTTTTATTTCTACTAGGAGGCAATAAAATGGGAGGATTCGCTAGATATTCTTTGATTGCGTCGAAAGTCTCTTGCTGCTCTTTTCCCCGGTGGAAATCACTTTCTTTTTTAATCTTGAGAAATGGCGAGAAAACCTTCGCCTTGCCACTTAGATTCAATATAAATCTCCTCTAGAAATTGATTTTCCCCAACAAAGATTGCAACTGCTTCTTTTTTGAAGGAGACTTGAGATCCAAAATTGCCTTTATTTTATTTTGGTTGATCTCTATGCCTTTTTTATGCACTACAAAGTGAAATTCTGGTACAGACAACACGCATATATCCCAACATCATAATGATGTTAAGATAAATGTTATAGTATCAAGTAGCAGAACATATCATTTAAGCTGTAAGTGATACATAAATAAAAATTGCAGAATGATAAATAACGCATAGAGAGTTATTAATCCAGCTCAGTGCAATATCACCTACATCTGGGGGCTACCAAGTGAGGAAGGAAGTTTACCATCAGCAGTATTAGTTCAAAGCTAAAGTTCCCCTATTTACAATTTCTCGCCTAATCCCTACCCAGTGCTGCTTCTACCTAGGCACCTCCTAGATATGAGAAATCACCATCTCACTTTAAATCACCTCAGTGATATCTAACAGTCCCAATTCCAGTGACTGCAACAAATACAATCCAATTTAGAAGATTACACTTCAAATACAAAAACTCAAACTCTTTCTTAAAATCTTTGAGTGAGAATAATAACTTGACTAACAGTCAAGCAACAAACAGTCGACCATATAGTATCAAAAGATACATGAGTGACTTACAAACTACACAAGAGATTCTCAAAATATAAGATTTATGCTTCCCCTGGTTTTATAATTGTTGAAAACTTCAATTACATTAGGTTAGGATTTCCCTTTAAATACAACTCTACAGTCCATGGGCTTCAATATTTTGAGTCCAAGAGTTTCTTGATTAATAAGCTGAGTGATGCACCAATTGTATAGCAAATCTCCTTAAATCTTGGAACAACCAATACATAGTTTCTTAAATTATTTCAAGGCCCAATTTAGTAACTTTTGCACAACTGGAGATACAAATTTGTTCCAAAACAAATCTTCTTAACCTGCAAAAATATTTAATATATATCCAAAGGAAATATAATAGAACCAAATCAAATTTGTCAAGATTTAAAAAGAGCAGCAAAAACCTGCTGCATATCAGAACAGTATGCTATAATATCTTGTTAAACATCTAGTCAGAACCATGTTTTAGCAAAATGTTGCCAATCCACAAAACTGTGGTACTAACAATCTTCCCCCTTTGGCAAGTTTTGGCTAAAACAACCAAAAACCAAATAACATGGGAAGAGGAATAAAACCACATAACGCCAACACGAACTACATGCTAAACATGTAAACTTTGTACACGAGGAATAAGATAAAAGACACTCCCCCTCAAACACATAACACCAACACCATTATGAACTTTCGAGGTAAAGTCTCATATGAGAAGAACTCAATTCCAGATAACTCACAGCATATGACACAACTATGCTCATAACTCAAAATGCAAGACACAACAGAAAGACAGAGACAGACTAAGACAGACTCGGATAGGATGTTAGAACATCCTATGAAACCGACTCAGACAAGATGTTAGAACATCCTTGCAACCCAACTGCAAGAACAAACTCAAGACTCGCATGATGGACAATCATGCTCCCCCTAAAATGTTGCATATAACAACTGCAACAACACTTAACTAAGACTTAGACCTACTACTACTTTTCTCCCCCTTTTTAGCCCAAAATTGATTAAAACAAGTTTAAAAGAACTTGACAAAAAAAGGATCAAAACAGGCAAGAATTGATTCAAGACACACAAAAGAAAAACTCAAAAGAAACTGACTCAATAAAAATACAAATTGTGTCAAGGGAAAAGAACTCCCTTAACCAGGACAAACTCAATTAGAAGAAGAAAAAAAACCACAAAAACAAAGAGTAAGTCCAAGTTTCTCCCAAAATAACAAAATTTGATGCAGGACTAGAAGCATCAAACTAACTTAAGGGAAAACAACTCCCCCAAGCAGGACTGACTCAACAAGAAACAAAAACATACCCTTTATATATATATATATATATATATATATATATATATATATATATATATATATATATATATATATATATATATATATATATATATATATATATATATATATATATATATATATATATATATATATATATATATATACAAGATAGCAGTCACCAACTATCCAATTCTCTCTCCTGAGTCAATGAACTTGACCTAGTCTTCATTAGCATCTAAATATGAATCATGTAAATGAACTTGATTCTTCTTCAGGGATTTCATCTCTATCACAGATGTTTTCCCTGTCCAGGATGCTCCAGTTGATATTCCAACATTTCTTTCAATGTTGAACCCTGCCTTTTTTGGATCACTTCCCTTATCCTTGTTGGATTCCAGCAAATGAACCTTCTTGGCACCAGTATCTTTGGAAGATTTACTCATATTTAAACAAAGTATATGAGAAAGGTGAGGAAGTAAAACATATAAATATAAGGTGAGTTACTTTGTTTGTAATGAAAACCTTGCTTGTAACGATAAATTAGTCAATGAAAGCGTTATTGGAAGGAGATAAAATATTCTTTAGACACAGTATATCACTCAATAATAGAGAGACACGCTCTTGTTCAAACTTTTCTCTTTTCAAAATTTTGACT